AATAAAGAAATACCTTGAGACTAATGAAAATGGAAATACAGCAGTCCAAAACATACAGCCTGCAGTAAAAGCAGTTCTGAAAGGGAAGACATAGTGATATATGCCTACCTAAAGAAACAATAAAAATCTCAAATAAAAAGCCTAACTTTATACCTCAAGAAACTGAGGTGTAAAGATAAAGAAGTGAAGCCCAGGGTTAATCAGGAGGAAAGGAATACCATAAATCAGAACAGAAACAAATGAGAGACTGAAAACGCATTGGAAAAGATCAGTGAAATTAAGAGCCAGTTCTTTGAAAGGATAATCAAGATTGACAAACCTTTAGCTAGATTCACTAAGAAAAAAAAGGTAAAATCAGAAATGAAAGAGGAGATACTACAACTGCTACCACAGGAATACAAAGGATCAATACTGTGAAGAATTATGTACCAAGAAATGGATAAACTCTTAGAAGCAACCTTCCAAGACTGAGTCAGGAAGAAGCAGAAAAATCTCAACAGACCAATTACTAATGAGATCGAATCGATAATTAAAAACCTCCCAACAAACTAAAATCCAGGACCAGATGACTTCACTGGTGAATGCCACTTAGGAATAAACCTGACCAAGGAGGTGAAAGACATATACACTGAGAACTCTAAAACATTGATAAAGGAGATTAAAGATGATTTGAAGAAATGGAAAGATACCCTGTACTCTTGGATTGGAACAATTAATTTTGTTAAAATGACCGACTGTCCAAAGCAATCTAGAGATTTAATGCAATCTCTATCAAATTACCCAGGACATTTTTCACAGAACTAGAATAGATGATCCTAAAATTTATATGGAATCACAAAAGATTCAGAATTGCCAAAGCAATACTGAAGGAAAAGAATGAAGCTGGATGCATAACCCTCCCAGACTTCAGACAATACTACAAAACTACAATAATCAAAACAGCATGGTATTAGGACAAAAACAGACATATGGATCAATGGAACAGAATAGAGAGCCCAGAAATAAACCCACATACCTATGGTTAATTAATCTTAGACAAAGGAGCCAAGAATATACAGTGGAAGAAAGATAGTCTCTGGCAAGTGGCTTTAGGAAACCTGGACAGCTGCATGTAAATCAATGAAGTTGGAACACTCCCTCACATCATACACAAAAATAAACTCAGAATGGCTTAAAGAAGTAAACATAAGACAGGATTCCATAAATCTCCTAGAAAACAACATAGGCAAAACATTTTCTGACATAAATTGTAGCAGTGTTTTCCTAAGTCAGTCTATCAAGGCATTAGAAATAAAAGCAAAAATAGACAAATGGGACCTAATTAAATTTATAAGCTTTTGCACAGGAAAGGAAATTGTAAACAAAATAAGACAGACTGGGAGAAAATACCTGCAAACGATGCAGCTGACGAAGGCTTAATTTCCACAATATACACATATCTCATACAACTCAGTAACAAAAAAAACCAAACAACCCAATCACAACATGAGCAGAAGACCTAAACAGACATTTCTCCAGTGAAGACATACAGATGGCCAACAGGCACGTGAAAAGATGTTCAGTATTGCTAATTATCAAAGAAATGCAAATCAAAACTACAGTCACCTCACACCAGTCAGAATGGACTTAAATGTGGGCTAAAACGTCCACAGATGATAAATGCTGGAGAGAGTGTGGAGAAAAGGGAACCCTTCTGCACTTTTGGTGGGAATGTAATTTGATATAGCTACTATGGAAAACAGTATGGAGATTCCTTAAAAAACTAAAAATATGCTTACCATATGACCCAGCAATCCCACTCCTGGTCATATATCTGGAGGAAATTCTAATTCAAAAAGACATATACACCCCCACTGTTCAAAGCAGCACCATTTACTGCAACTAAGACATGGAAGCAACCTAAATGTCCATTGACAGATAACTGGATAAAGATGTGCTCTGTGTGTGTGTGTGTCTGTGTGTGTGTGTGTGTGTATTCAATGGAACACTACTCAGCCATAAAAAAGAATGAAATAATGCCAGTTGCAGCATCATGGATGGATCTAGAGATTATCCTACTAACTGAAATAAGATAGAGAAAGACTAAAATCATGTATCACTTTTATGTGGAATCTAAAAAAAGACAAATTTATTTACAAAACAGAACTTATTTATAAAACGAAAACACATTCACAGACATAGAAAACAAACTTTTCGTTACCAAGGGAAAAGGAGGAGGTGATAAATTAGGACTTGGGAAATTTACAAATACTAAGAACTATATATAAAATAAACAACAAGGTCCTACTGCATAGCACACAGAAGTATATTCAATAGCTTGTAATAACTTATAGTGAAAAAGTATGCAAAAGAACATATATATATGTATAATAATCACTATGCTTTGCTCCAGAAATTATCACAACATTGTAAATCAACTGTACTTCAATAAAAAAATAAATAGCTACTCTATGACCCAGCAATTCGACTTGGTATTTATCCAAGGAAACAAAAACACTAACTCGAAAAGATATATGCACCCCCATGTTCATTGCAGCATTATTTACAATAGCCAAGGCATGGAAACAACCAAAGGGTCCATTGATGGGCAAATGGATAAAGAAAATTATAGTCTGTATATATAATGGAATATTATTCAGCCATAAAATGAATGAAATAGCGTCATTTGTGACAACATGGATGGACCTTGAGAGCATTATGCTAAGTGAAGTAAGACAGAGAAATAATTGTATGACGTCACTTATATGTGGAATCTAAGAAACAACCTAAACAAAAGAGAATAGATTGGTGGTTTCCAGGGAGAGGAGACGGGGGAAATGGTTGAAGGCAGTCAAAAGGTACAAACCTCCAGAGATGAAATAAATAAGTTATGAGGATCTAATGTACAGTATGGCAACTGTAGTTAACTGCATTTTTAAAAGTTGCTAAGAGAGTAAATCTTCAAAGTTCACATCACAAAAAAACACAATTTTTGTAATTATATATGGAGACATATATTAACTAGAGCATTTGTGGTGATCATTTTGCAGTATAGACAAATACGGAATAATGATTTTGAGCACCTGAAACTAATAGTGTTATATGTCAATTATACCTCAAGAGAAATTTTTGAAAAGAGTATCTCATATCACAGACTCCAAAGAAAATTTACCTGATGTGGTGACATTCAAACCCAAATGATAGAAAACACTACATTCTGATAGAGGCTGCTTCATGAGCAGTATGTAAATTTTTGTGAAATTAACAGGACCCTTTTCTTGAATGTCTCTACCCACAAGTTGTAGAGAAAAATGACAAATGCGGACCTAGGTTAAATTGACTGTGGTAGAAAGGAATGTGCTGTTGAAATTCAGGCAGGATCTTTGAGGTCAGGTTGTTAAGTTTTTAAGTGGACATACATTTTTATTTTTCTTGTATATGTGTAGGTATAGAATTACTGGGTCAGATGAAAGTACCAGATTATGACTAGTGATGTTGAACATCTTTTCATAAGCTTATTGGCCATTTGTAAATCATCCCTGACGAAATGTCTGTTGAGATGCTCAGTTTTTAATTAGGTTATTTGTCTTTTCATTATTGAGTTCTAAGTGTCTCTGGAATTTGTTCTTGGTTAGATACGGTGGTAGATGCGTACTGACAGCCTACTTTATCTACAGCTGCTCCTAACAATTCTATGTTCTTGAGTAGCTGAAAATCTAAACAAATTATAAGCCATTAATATCCATTTCTCCAGCTACTCAAAATATAGACAGTGTCCAGACTAATGGGGAAGAGTCAAGCAGTATCCACTCACTCTATATCCCCTTAGAAAATACTAGAAATTGCTAGATCTAATCCTGGTAACAAATAAGATCTACAGAGTTCAGAGCATAAAGATGATACAGAGTTTGTTCATCATCATTTAGGATCCTTGCCTCAAAAGGAATTAGAAAATGGAGATAAATACAGTTTTAGAGAATTAATCCAGGAAATACAAGAACATGCTACATTATGACTTCTTGGACTCTCAAATGAAAGCATTCAAAGAAGACTGAATAAGAGAGAAAGAGCTTAGAGAAGGGAAGAAAGAATTAAATGATTATAGTGCTGAATATAAAACAGATAAACAATTTTCTTCTGTATAGCACAGGCAACTATATTCAATATCTTGTAGTAACCTATGATGAAAAAGAATATGAAAACAAAGATATGTATGTATATGTATGACTGAAACATTATGCTGTACACCAGAAATTGACACGATATAAACTATGTTTCAATTAAAAAAGAGAGAGAGAGAAAATGATTATAGTGCTGAAAATTAAATTAAAAGTAGCCAGGAGTATAGACTTGAAAAAAATTGCCTACAAGTGCAACTGAAAAGAAGGAAAATCTGGAGGACAATGAAGAGTCAATATATGATTTTTCCAAAAATAAGAAAAAAGTGAAAGAGAAATTATAGGTAAATATGTAATAGAAGAAACTTGACTAGAGGGAAGGAGAAAACCTGAATTTGAATACAGAGTTGTTATTGGCTTTTTTGTATTAAGGAGCCATTAGTCTTTGTCTTCATTTCTCATTACCTTATGATAGAGTCTTAGAATTCAAAGTTCTGGGACAGAGAATATAAATATTTTAAGTTATGCATTGTCAGAATGTTGTTACAGGTTAAATGTCATCCATTGTTTTTACTTGCTTATTTATTTATTTTTGTTATTGTTTGCCTAGAAAGTTCTTTCTAACTTAGTAATCAGTTAAATGTCTATATTTCTTCCTATGATTTTGGTGTTTTATATGTAAGTAAGTAATTGTTTGGAGTTCATTTTGGTTTTTAGTATGGATTGAGGGTCTGATTTCATTCTTAGAAGAAGTAACTCATGTTTGCATTACCCTTTCTTGGTTAGTTTTTCTTATTTTGGGGTGACATTTCACCTTGTTTTTTCAAAGTAGTTTTTTCTTTGTATTTTATTTAAAAGTTGACTGTGCTTTGATACAAAAAAGTATTTTTGTCCTTATTTTAGAATAAGGAGAGTGTATCTTCAGTGATTACTGACCTCAGCATAATAATGGAGCCCACCGAATATTCAGAATTAAGTGAATTTGTGTCTAGGTAAGATACTTTACATTTTTTTAAGGGATTGTTTCACTTTACAACTTTAAGTTTACCTGTTCTTTTTTCTTGATCAGTAGATATCAAAATATGTTTGACAGCATAGCACCATTATTGTGACTTACATTTAATATTCTCTGTATCTGTCATTCATTCAATTAAAGTTTATTATACATCTACCATGTGATAAGCATTAAAATTAAAATGTGAGCAAAAACAGATGTAGTCCTGGATTTTCATGGAATTTATAGACTAGAAGAGAAGTCAGATATTAAATCATTGTAGAAATAAATCTAAAATTATGGCTGTGATAATTGCTGCAGAAAGAGTTACACAATGCTGTTGAAGCATCCATCAGGAATTTGACTTTGGGGGAGAACATAAAATACTTTCCTGAAACTTGAGCTGATATCTGCAAAATGAGCAGGCATACACTAACAGAGAGGTTCTAGACAGAATAGCTTATACACAGGCACTGTGGTAAGGGGGAGCATGGCAACTGTGAGCAATGGCCAGAAGACCAGAGTGGCTAGGGGAGGATGAGAGCAGGAGAGTGTGGTAGAAGACAAGACTAGCAGCATACGTAAGGTCACACTATGGATTTAAGTATAAGGAGTTTGATCATAGTCCTAAGACCAACATGAAGCACTGAAAGGTTTTAAACTGAGCCTAAGCAAGGCAGAAGTGTGACATTCTGGAAAGAATTATTCCTCATGCTGGAAGGAGAAGAGATTTAAGGGGTACAGAATTAGATATTGGGGGATCAGTGACTAGCCCATTGAAACAGTTCAGGGAAACAAGTGTGTAGTTTGGACTAGAATAATGGTAGTTGAGAGAGCGAGCTAGATGGATTTAGGGGATATTCAGGAAGTGTAATTGAATAGGCATGATGTTGATGGAATAAGAGGGGTCAGGAGTCAATGACAGATAGTGACTCCTGTCCCAAGTCAACTGTCCAAAGTCAGTACCTGATTGCTGGAGGTGACTGCATTTGTTGAGATAGGAAAAGTTGGAAAAGTACCACGTCTGGCGGGATTGTGTCTTCAGTTTGGACATATTGAACTTGAATACCTTTGAAACACTGAAGTAAAAAGAAGTAAACAGCTAAGAAGAGGTGTAGGTAGGAAATAAAAACATTGGAGTGATCTGCCAGTGGATAAAGTAAAAACTTTGAGCAGGAATGAGTATGGAGAGAATATAGAGTGAAAATATAAGAAGGACTGGAACTGAACCTCAAAGGATTCTTAAGTGTACTGCTGAATAGAACTGAAGGATCCTGCAAAGGAATTAGAAAACTGAGAGATGGGAGTAAAACCAGGAATGTGTTTTTGACCATTGACAGTTGGGTTAACATTAGTTTTTCCTTCACATCTTTAAGTAAATCCTTCCCGTGTCCCCTGGAGGGCATAGGTCTGCTGTATTGTTTTTGTGTATGTGTGATTTTTCAGATGCTTTCACCTTCTATTAATTTTGCTTTTCAACAGTTTCTGCTATTTCTAGTGTATGTTTATGTGAAAATTCCCAACCATATCTTTCAGATGCTTTTTCTGTCCTATTTTCTTTCTTCTTCTCTAACTCTGATTACACGTATGTTAGAACATTTGATATATTGTCTCAGTGTTTGGATACTCTGTTCTATTTCTTTCACTCTTTTTTTTTCTTTGCATTTCAGTTTGGATAAGTTCTGTTACCCTGTCTTCCAGTTTACAGATTCTTCCCTCAGCTGAGGTCCAGTCTGCCAGTGAGCCCGCTGAAGAAATTCTTCATCTCCAGTGTAATATTTTTTATTTCTAGTGTTTTTGTTTGATTCTTAATTTTTCTCTCTGCTGAAATTCGCCATTTGTTCATGCATGTTGTCCAAGTTTTTTCTTTTTACTAGATCTTATAACCTATTAATCAGTTTTTTTTCTTTTGTATTTTCTTATGGAAATTTTCAAATGTAAGTTTTCCCTGTTGTTCGAAAATAGAGCATTCCTATGAAATTCCTTTGTAAGCCATAATGGTGTAACATGAAGAAGCAATTACCTCAGGACACATTTTGCTGATGGATGCACAAAATAAATCAAGATACAGCACAGATGCTCACAGACACAGTTGAAAGCTATGGTGGCTTGATGCTGAGATGCTGAGTGTAGTTTCTGGGGAAGGAGCTTGGTGGTACCACTTTAGCTGCTCAGTGTGTGCTTCTGTGACGGCTTGCTGCTAAACACAACTTGAACACTATTTTCACTTTTCGCTTTTTTAAAAACTAAAAGTGAAAGATCTTTTCAGATTTCTATTTAATTAGCGAAAAGAGGTATTAATATAGATCTTTGGTAAAAGTGAAGTGGTGTGAATCAAACTTTGGAAAAGTGGAGGACACATGGATATGTAAAATAATAGTATAATTAACCTGCTGCTACCCATTAGGCTACATCATCAGTTATCAGTATTTTGCTAATCTTATTTCATCTATTCTTACACATACACATTTTTAAGCTTTCAATTTGCAAATAATTGTAGACTTACAGGAAGTTGCAAAAAACAAAAACAGTATACAAGGAGATTCCATACACCCTTCCTCCAGCCTCTGACGATGGTAACATTTTGCATAACTACAGTATACTATCAAAATCAGAAAATTGATCTTCATAATATCTAGGGAGCTTTCACAAATTTTATCAGTTGTGCAAGCACTCGTGTGTGTATGTGTGTGTGTGTGTGTGTGTGTTTGTGTTCTATGCAATTTTATTATATATATAGCTTCGTGAACCCACCACCACATTCAAGATAGAAGACTATTTTGTTTTCTCTCCAATTAAAAAAATTGTGATAAAATATATATAACATAAAATTTACCTTCTAACCAATTATAAGTGTAGAGTTCAGTGGTGTTAAATACATTCATAATGTTATACAACCATCATCATCCGTCTCCATAACTCTTTTCATCTTGTAAAACTGAAACTCTATACCCATTAAACAATAAATCCCCATTTTCTTCTCTATTCCATTCCTATTTGTGTCTCTATGATTTTTAATCATAGTTACTTTAAAGCCCCTGTCTAATGTTACTAACATTTGAATCATCTTTGAGTCCAATTCTGGTGATTGGTTTACAACAGGTTGTTTTTTCTTAAATTTTTGTATCTCATAATTTTTTAGTGACTGATGGACACTGTGTGGAGAAACAGTAGACACTGAAACAAATAGTATTTATGCCCAGAAATGAGCACAGTCTTTTATCAGGCTGTTAGTATGCAGTTTAATTCAAGCTAGTCAGCAAGTTAAGCTATAGGTGTGGGACTTTGTTTCTTTCTTAACTTCAGGCGCCAAAGGCTTCAGATTCTTCCAGCAGTGAATTCAAATTCAAATTTAGTTCTTCCTTATGGGTAGAATGGAGTTTGGGGACCTGGAGGGCTTTCGTCAGCATTTCAGCCTCACTCTCAGCTTTTATCAGTCCCTACACATCTGTATCTCAGAACAGAATTACACTGCACTCTTCACTGCACTAGACACTCCCCCAGCAGTAGGTGTAGATGCTTGTTACTTGGTGCTATGCTCATGGTGGGAGCAAAGGGAATTCTGTGTTTCCATGGTCCATCCTTAGTATCGGGCGGGTCCTATGGAACCCACTGTTCCTGCTCCTGTTCCCCAGTGCAGCCAGACTCAGCCTGGATCTGGGGTTGGTCTTGAGTGGGAGAGAGCTCCTTGCCCCTCCCTTGGACACTCCACCATGGTAGCAGGGTTATGCTTGGTTTTAGTGTAGGATCCTGCGCCCACAGGGTTTCCTACCCCTCCCATGGAGCAGAGGGATTTAGCTTCTGCACCTCTTCCCAAAGCAGTGGCTCTTTCTTCTGGTATCAGAAGTGTTTTCTCCCCACTCTCCCAGAATCAGACTCGGTTTGACTCCTCCTCCTCCCTTGCAAGAGATTTTTTTTCTCCCATTGCTTTGCTGCTACTTCTTTAGGAGCTTAGGGCTTTTGCTTCCTACCAGAGGAGAATTCTGGCTTTTTGTTTCAGCAGCAGCTAATCACGTCTTCTTCATACCTATCCCACTGCGGGGAGCTCTCTGTGGGCTCCTGCCATGACTCCAGTCCTCCTGGAGGAGTCCCTTTGTGTCTGGGGTTCCTGTCTGTTCCAAAATGACACCCTACCCTACATTTTGTCCTTTAAGAATTTGTTGAAATTTGAGTTGCTTTCTTGTTACCCACTTTATGGTGGCTGCTTCCCTCCCCTGCGTTTAACCATGTAAGTAGTTTATGTGTCCTGTTTCTCCTTTGAGGGAGAAAAATTTTAATTTACTTGGTTGCCTTATAACTTTAGGGCTTTTATTGGGTCAAAAAAGTTTAAGATTTTATAGATTAGTCAGACTTTTCCTTGACATTAGATTGAGAGTGGCCTTCTCGGCAGCTTTTTACATCTTTAATATTAAAGTGGAACTCTTTCTTGATTTTCTCTTGACTCTCATTCTGAAATTTGGGACATAATATCTTTTTTCCTCTGCAGGCATCTTGCCCTTCCTTTATGTTTTATATCTCTTCATATTTTTGTGCTTATTCTTTTTTTGTTATGTGTATATATATATATGTACATATATATATA